GCCGTGCGCTGGGAGAGGAAGGAAAACTTGTGATGGGTGTCCGGGAAGGAGCCCTGGGGAGTTGCTCCTACATCCCAAAACACCACCGACCCTTGAGCTTGTGTTCCTGAGTGCAGGAGGGTGCCGATTTCACACTGCCAATTGCTGCTGGATAGCTCTTTCTGAAACAGCTTTCTGCAGCAAGGCAGGGAAGCGCAGCGGGAGGCACAGGAGGCGGCAGCAGGGGCTGGGCTGCCTGTGCTGGCTCTGCTGGCCCGTGATCTTAGCTTGGCCTCTTTATATCTCTGGGTCCCAATTTAAAAACATCTGCCAAGCATGTGCTGTTTCTATTTTGCTTTTGTCTTCCTTACTGGACTGGATGCTCCTTGAAAGCTGTGCTCGTGTCGTCTTCGGCTGTGTGTTCCCAGCACCTTATTACACAGGAGGAGCTCAATCCATGGTTGTTAAATGAATGTATGAACTGAAAAGGATCTAGCTTGTATTAAGTGCCTACTACAGTCAGGCACAACGTGAGCCATTTTCCTTACGCTGTTTCACAATTCACCGTATTAAATAGGTATTACCATATTCATTCAATTCATGGGAACTTTGTGGCCTCTAATTTCCAGTTAAGATGTCCTATGTCTGCTGGACTCTGTGGCCCGAGGGGCTGGGCTGTTTGACAGCCCATTTCTCTGCTTCCTTGCTTCTATGGCCATTCTGGTCGGGCAGATGAACAGATGAGCAGGCCAGGCATTCGTTGTCATCTGTTCCCTGGGAGATCTCGGCCAAAGCCAGGCTGCCTTGGCAGACGCAGGCGCTCAAGCTCTGTGCTTCATTAGAACTCATGCATGCTGCTGCTTTCCAGGGGACAAGGAAGGGAGCAGCTGCTGGGATTCCCCAACTGCCTACTCCTGCCTCCAGCACCTCCAACAGGCAGGCTGCTGTTTCCTCTGATGTTGCATCGTGTGCTCACGACTTGGTGGTTTCCGGGGACTCGGTGGCCGCTGAGTAGTTATTTCTCAGCCCACTCCTCTGAGTCAGGCTCTTCCCAGCTGACTGTGTTATGACAACTTCCTCCCTTGTTACTACAAATGCTGCATGTTGTTTTCCAAATAGCGGTCCCCAAACCACCATGTTCTGTTCTGACAGGAAGCCAGCCCCGTTTGTAATCATCACTGTCATCACCACCAGGATGTCGCTGTGTCCCCTTTGCCACACTAAGCACTGTGCTGCTGGGGTTGTCTCTGACATTAAAGGGGGTGAGCTTCCGGAGAGGCAAACTGCCAAGGATCTCAAAACCAAAGGATTCTTGAGACTGGCACTGACCTCATAATCAGAGAACAGACAAGTCTCAATCCTTTGTGATCTCAAATTCTGAGCAGAGCAGAGCAGATTAGGGTATTCAATAATGGCCTCTTACATTTGCATCCTGCTCAGAGTGTGCAAAACTCTTTACATCCCTTATTACGTTGACCTCACAGAACCATGTCAGCAGGGCCGACAACATCATCCCCACTTTACAGATGGAGAAACTGAGGTTTGGGAGGGAATGGGATGTGCCTGAAGGCATAGAGCTTGTTCATGGAGCATCCTTTCATGGACCATCAAACGCTGGCCTTTTGCGTCCCTAGCACCTCTATGGTCCTAACGAATAGAAAGTATCCAATAAATGATTGTTCATTGAGCTAGGACTTAAATTCAGGGCTTTGATTCACAGCATAATAATTTTTCTGCTGCACTCTCATGGCCTAATTGAGCTCTTCCAGCAATGGGTAAAAACAGTCTGAGGTTGTGCTGGTTAGGTTCACACCCCCTCCACCTTGTCTAGCTGGTGACCTTGGGTAGGTTTTTTGACCTCACTGAATTTCCTCATCTGTAAAATGGAAGATAATAACAGTACCTGGTTCATTGTGCTGCTGAGTATTAAACAAGAAAATGCAGGTAAAATGCACGACAGTAACTGGCTAGCGCATCTAGGAAGTCCTTAATAAGTGTTAGCAACAGTTATTATTACTCAAGGGTAGGGACTGGGCCTTATATATCTTTGTAACCCAGGATCTAGTATAGTGGTTGGCACATACACATGAGTGTAGGGCTCAAGACACTTGCCTACCAACACTGACACTCATCAGGTGACATGGAGCAAGGCCCTTTGCCCTCTTGGGCCTCAGTTCCCACACCTGTGAACTGACAAGGTTGAACTAGGTAAATCCCCCTGTTCCTCCCAGCTCTAAAATGTTCTATTTATTTCAGTGGTTCTCATTGGGGGTGATTTTGCCCCCCAGGGGACATTTGACAATGTCTGAAGACATTTTTATGGTCACAAGCAGGGGAGGTGCTATGGGCATCTAGTGGGTAGAGGCCTGGGAAGGTGGGGACCGTGCATAGGACAGTGCCCACAAAAAGAATTGTCTGGCCCCAGATGTCAATAGCGCTGAGGCTGAGCAACCCAGATCCAACTCTACACAAATACCCAGAGCTCTCTGTATTGCTCTGACAAGCGCCTGTGTCCTGCTGCTTGCCAAGATGCCTGGGGCAGCAGAGTTCCTCCCCGCAGCAGAGCAGTCTATGGATTGCTCCTTCAGCTGCCGCCTTCCACCCTCACCACACTGATCTTGTTGGAGCTGGGGAGCCTGGCTTGGGCATCTTTAATTTAAATTTGAAATCACTCCCACTCATCATTAAACTTCAAGATGGCTCTGCCGGGCTGGGGAGAACATCTCTGCACGGAGATGCACAGAGCCCAGCCTGAGGCAAAGCCCCTGTAGATGTAGGGGCAACCCCAGCAAAGCCATTGAGTCCATGGGCTTGCCCCAGCACCCCTGCTCCCTTTCTCCTGCTTCAACTCCCACCCTCCAGGGGGCAGACTGACTCTGGTGATGGAAGAGTCGCCTTGGGAAGAAAATGCACTGGCCAGCAGAGTGGGCCTTGAGACTGGTGGCCATGGCAGCCTCAGGGGAAGTTCATGGCCTGCACACACCGAGCAGTCTTGGTCTCCTTGTTCTCACCACATGTGGAGGGAAGGCTGCCATCACATGCCTCCTGGCATCATCAGTCTTGACCCACCAAAGACTATATATCATCTCTTTTTGCAAGGTTCCTTTACCTTCCATTTCCTCTTTCCAAACCCCACTCTTTCCCCCTGAGTTCCTGCTGAGAGGCTATGGGTTTCCCAGAAGGAGCATGAATGATGAAACAGGAGACTTGGAGTCTAGTTTGGGCCACATCACTTCCTATTTCCTGTCTCCGCCTCAGTTTTCTCATCAGTTAAATGGGAATTCACTTGGTAGTTATGACCATAGGAGGATAAAGAGGGGAAAACTCTTCAAAAGCCCCCAAGTCTGGTCATACCGTGGATCTATCGTCTTCTTGACCATGCTATACAGGGGAGCAGGCTCTGCTACTCAGGAAGTGCTGAAATCCCTCTGGCACTCTTCCTCTCACACTCATGCACATTCTCAGCCTGCATTTCAGGAAGATCCAAAACTCCATTTCCCTCTGTGACATCAATGATCTACCCCCACCAGGACCTCAAGAGATTGATTGCTTGAAGTCCCAGAAGCCCTGAGTAGTACTCTCTGGTCTCTGCCAGGCTTGGTGGGGCAGGAGTGTTGAGTGCAGAAGTCAGCATAAAGAGCTCATGAGGGTGGGCAAACGCCTATATGATGGCACTGCAGCTGAGGCCACTACCAGCCCCTCCCATGGATGGGAGGCCTTCCCATCTGGGCTTCTCACAAGAAAGGGAGGCCATGTTGCAGGGAGGCTTGGCCCTGGAGGACAGCTCACACAAAACAATGGGCAGCCCAGACATCCGACATTCCTGATTTCTGGTGAATAGAGCAAGAGGCACTTGGTGGCTGGGCCCCTCCTGGCCAGCCCAATGAGGCATTTCAGAGGCAAGAAGATGAATATGAATTTAGGAATGGGGAGAGCATCCTTCTTGAAGCCAAGATTTCATTCCTGCTGGGATTGTAGCAGCTTGTAGTTCTTTGAAGCACAACTAAATACAGGTGGGTCAGTAGCAGGGAGGTGGGGTGAAGACTTTCAAGAAATTACTAAGGACACCATACAGCTTTACTGGAAAAGCAGTAGGTAGGATCTCTCTCACTGACCCAGAACACCATGGAGGTGGAGGATGGGTAATATCATCGTTCAGATGCGACCCCTCTGAAAAGTATTTTCTTAGAGGGAAGCAAAGTCTAAGTGTAGCTAGAAAGTGGAGGTCTTTCTCCTGCAAACATGCCACAAGGAAGGATCTCTCACCCTTGCTGATTACAAGGGAATCAGATCTGGTGCTCCGCAAAACTGAGGTCTTATGGTGGTTTTATACTTACAGAATGAGGAAAAAAGGCAGGCACAGAGATACACTGGTTCAAGTTTGCTTTCCAATGTCACTTCTTCTAGAGGCCCGATGGGTCACTGAGTAGGCAAGTATCTCCTGGAAGCTTAAAGGAGTTTACTGACATAGATATTTGGTGTGACTTCAGTGTTGTGTAAGCCCTAGAGGTTCTAGAACAAAGCTTGTTCCAATCTCTGCTGAATTGATACCATTGTGGTATCCCTGACCAACTCTGCTCTAGGGTCCCATATTCCTGTAGAACCAGCTTGGGCAGCCATGGTAGTTTGTTCTTTCCCTTCCGGCCCCAGTTCTGCTGGTAAAACTGTTTCCAGCATATTGAATTACTTTTATTTTGGTCTTTTAACATTCCCCTTAGCTGTTTTCTTCTTGGCTTCACCTGGATTTTGGAAATGAATATCTTTAACACCCACTCATTAAATGCCCACTGTGCCATCTGGTTCTCTGGCCTCTGGAAGGACTACCAGCCTGGGCAGCCAGAGGATCCCACAGATCAGTGCCTGAGACACTACCCAGGGAATATTAGCAGTAATGGCTCAATCTGGACCCTACTATTTAAAGGACCATTGTGAGTTCTAAGTAGATGTCACAGACGCTGGACGTTTGTAGCCACAAGCCAAATTTTTTATATAATTGATTTAGGACACGGGGAAGGACTTACCCATGCTTCCCCGGAGTGGGTACCAGGAGGATCTCTCTTCCAGCCTCGTTGTGGGGCAGCAGCTGGGCGATGTACCTCCCAGAGGGCTGCAGGTGCCTGTGCACTGAGACGGCCAGCCTGCAGTGCTCGCTGCTGCTCCTCATCCACGGGCTCAGGATGGTGTGCTTGGAGTCTGCTGAGGTGTTGAGGAGGAGGAAGGAGCCTGCCAAGAAATAGGGAAAGTGACTCTGCGGGTGTGTCCAGACAGGAGGACCAGTAGCAGCTCTGTTGCAGGATTTAGAGACCAATGGCATCCAAGTCAGCGATGCTGGAGGCCTTTCTCACCTTCTTCCCACACACCCAGCCCTCTTCCCCCTCTCTTAGATTGTCTTTGTAAAAAGTAAAGCCTGAAGCAAGAGGACGGTGACTGGGGACTTAGGCTTTAAAATCAGGAAGACTGAAGTTCTCACCTTAGCTCCCCTGCTTACTAGCTCTATGTCCTTGAGTCTCAGGTTCTTCCTCAGTAACATAGGCAGGAAAACATCTATTTCAAAGGGTGGTTGTGAGGATTATGTGAGATAAGCATGGAGAACACTTTACCCAGTTTTAGGCAGAGAGGAAGCATCCTATTAAATAATCAATTATTTGATTTTGACCGTCTTCCAAGTTAAAGTAGGAATGACATCTCTCTGATTCTTTGCCAGCCAATAAGCACAATTAACAAAGTCCCATTGGACATAGGAAGAATAGGGGGTATTACCTAACCACTAAAGAGTGACCAGAGTCAGAAACCCAACCCAGGTGCTAAGATGTTGTTATAGATTTACATCCTGGTCTAGGGGGACAGCCTAAACAGAGCCACTCCCTCCATAAATGCGCCAAGGGTGGAGCCAGGACATCAGTGTCATCTTGTAAACATCCATGTAGGGTCTCTCCATACTCTGCAAACCAGGACTCAGAAGCATCTCAGACCACCCTATAGGTCACAGTTTAAATCAAGGCTGATCTGAGTTCTCCATGTCACATTCAAGACAACTTGGGACTCAATTCATGTCTGTTAGACAACTCAGAGTTTCCTAAGAATGTACAGGTTGGCTCTAGGTTCTCAAATAGTTATGACCAGTTCAAGATTTTCCGGGAGAGGTGGGTGGCTTGGAGAGGGGTCTTGGTGGGGGCTTTGGGTCACTTATTATGTAGTAGTTAAGATCATGACTCCTGCTCCTTCGTTTACTAGCTGAGTGATCTTGGACAAAGTGTTAACTTTCTCAGGTTTCAGTTTCCTCGTTTATAAATGGAGTGAAAAAGGTTGGCTGAACTCAATAATCTCTTAAAATCTATTTCAGCTCATACTTCTATGAGTCATGTGAATTTGCAACTGGTCTCTACAAAGAAAGCCCTACAAATCCCTCCTGGTGCCGTGCCTGTGGCAGTTCCCTCTGGGGCAAGCCGACCCTAATTCCAGTAGCCCGGGCCAAGTGACCTACAAGAAATCTATATTCATGGGGATTACTGTCAGGGTAAAAGCACAGTAGCATTTTACTGTTCCAGGCATTCCTTCTGATGCATTAATTTTACTTGCCACACTTCTGCATTGAAGTTTTGGACCATCGGACACTGCTCCTTTAGCAGTGGAAGCCTATTCCAACAAGATCCCTGACTTCTCCAGTGGGAACGAGCTAATGAGTGCTCATCCTTCTAAACCACCCCCCGGCACTTTGAATTAGTCTCCTTCTACAGGAATTTACCAAGCAGGCAAATGAACTAGCAGCTTGCAATAGAGAACGATGCAGATGAAATAAGGGGATTCCTACCAAAAGAAAAGCATTTTCCAAGGAGAAGGTACTGTGTCAGAAATTGAAGATTTGCAATACAGGCATAGCTTGTTTTATTGCGCTTCACAGATATTGTTTTTTTTTTACGAATTGAAAGTTTGTGGCAACCCTGAGTCAAGCAAGTCTATCGGCACCATTTTTCCAACAGTATTTGCTCACTTTGTGTCTCTGTGTCACATTTTGGTAATCTCACAGAATTTCAAACTTTTTCGTTATTATTATATTTGTTATGGTGATCCGTGATCAGTGATCTTTGATGTTACTATTATAATTCTTTTGGGGCACCATGAATTATGCCCATATAAGACAGGGAACTTCGGGCCGGCTCCGTGGCTTGGCGGTTAAGTGCGCGCGCTCTGATGCTGGCGGCCCGGGTTCGGATCCCGGGAGCGCCCAGAGGCACCACTTCTCCGTCCAACGTGAGGCCGGGTCCCACGTACAGCAACTAGAAGGATGTGAACCTATGACATACGGCTATCTACTGGGGCTTTGGGGGGAAAAAACTGAATAAATAAAATCTTTAAAAAAAAAAAAAAAAAAGACAGGGAACTTAATCCATAAATGTTGTGTGAGTTCTGACTGTTCTATGAACTGGCCATTCCCCTGTCTCTCTCTCTCGTCTTAGGCCTCCCTATTCCTTGATAACCAACAATATTGAAATCAGACCAATAAATAACTCTACAATGGCCTCTAAGTATTCAAGTGAAAGGAACAGCTGCATATCTCTCACTTTAAATCAAAAGCTAGAAATGAATACGCACATGGAGAAAGGCATGTCAAACGCTGAGATAAGCCAGAAGCTAGACCTCTTGTGTCAAACAGTTAGCCAAGTTGGGATTGCAAGGGAAAAGTTCTTTAGAAAAATTAAAAGTGCTACTCCAGTGAACACGTGAATGATAAGATAGCAAAAGAGCCTTATTGCTGACATGGAAAAAGTTTTAGTGGTCTGGATAGAAGATCAAACCAGCCACAACATTCCCTTAAGCCAAACCCTAATCCACAAGGCCTTTAACTCTTCAGTTCTATGAAGGCTGAGAGAGGTGAGGAAGCTGGAGAAGAAAAGTCTGAAGCCAGCAGAGGTTGGTTCATGAGGTTTAAGGAAAAGAAGCCGTCTCCAAAATATAAAAGTGCAAGGTGAAGCAGCAAGTGCTGATGTAGAAGCTGCAGCAAGTCGACCAGAAGAACTTGCTAAGATAATTAATGAAGGTGGATACACTAAACAACAGATTTTCAACGTAGACAAAACAGCCTTATATTGGAAGAAGATGCCACATAGGACTTTCATAGCTAGAGAGGAGAAGTCAATGCATGGCTTCAAAGCTTCAAAGGACAGGCTCACTCTCTTGTTAGGGACTAATGTAGCTTGTGACTTTAAGCCAATGCTCATTTACCATTCCAAAAATCCTAAGGTTCTTAAGAATTATGCTAAGTCTACTCTGCACGTGTTCTGTAAATGGAATAACAAAGCCTGAATGAGGGCACATCTGTTTACAACATGGTTTACTGAATATTTTAAGCCCACTGTTGAGACGTACTGCTCAGAGAAAAAGATTCCTTTCAAAATATTATTGCTCATTGACAATGCACCTGGTCACCCAAGAGCTCTGATGGAGATGTACAATGAGATTAATGTTGTTTTCACACCTACCAAAAACATCGATTCTACATCCCATGGATCAAGGAGTCATTTTGACTTTCGAGTCTTAGTATTTAAGAAATACATTTCATAAGGCTATAGCTGCCATAGATAGTGATCCGTCTGATGGATCTGGGCAAAGTAAATTGAAAACCTTCTGGAAAGGATTCATTGTTCTAGATGCCATTAAGAACATTTATGATTCATGGGGAGAGGTCAAAATATCAATATTGACAGGAGTTTGGAAGAAGTTGATTCCCACTCTCATGGATGACTTTTAGAGGTTCAAGACTTCAGTGGAGGAAGGAACTACAGATGTGGTTAAAATAGCAAGAGAACTGGAATTAGAAGAGAAGCCTGAAGATATAACTGAATTGCTGCAATCTCATGATGAAACTTTAACGGATGAGGAGTTGCTTCTTATGGATGAACAAAGAAAGTGGTTTCTTGAGATGGAATCTACTCCTGGTGAAGATGCTGTGAAGATTGCTGAAATAACAACAAAGGACCTACAATATTACAAAAACTTGGTTGATAAAGCAGCGGCAGGGTTGAGAGGATTGATTCCAATTTTGAAAGTTCTACTGTGGGTAAAATGTTATCAAACAGCATCACATGCTACAGAGAAATTGTTAATGAAAGGAAGAGTCAATTGATGTGGCAAACTTCATTGTTGTCTTGTTTTAAGAAATTGTCACAGCCACCCCAACCATCAGCAACCACCACCCTGATCAGTCAGCAACCATCAGCATCGAGGCAAGACCCTCCACCAGCAAAAAGATTACAACTCGCTGAAGGCTCAGATGATGGTTAACATTTTTTAACAATAAAGTATTTTTAATTAAGGTTTGTACATTGTTTTTTTAGACATAATGCTATTGCACACTTAACAGATTACAGTATAGTGTAAACATAACTTTTATATGCACTGGGAAACCAAAAAATTCATGTGACTCACTTTATTGTGATATTGGCTTTATGGTGGTGGTCTGGAACCTGTAATATATCCGAGCTAAGCCTATATTCTGGAAGTAGATAAATGTGACTTCTAGTTAAATTCAGGGTGAGGTCAGCACAAGACTGTTTCTGAGCTGGATCAGGGACACGGGGTCATTATTGGAAACTGAACCCTCTCAATTGTTGGGAAGTTTCAGCATGGCATATGGGCCTTTGAAAAGTGTTCTACAACCCTCAGTAAATAATCTGTATTATTACCCTGTTTTATAATGGAGGACACATTCTTGTCATGGGCATAGAGGTAAAAGAAACGGATTAGAATCAAAGACTCAGAATTACAATTAGACTCAGAATTAGAAAGGACTTAGAGATCATCTGATAGAATACCCTTTCTTTTCTAGAGAAGTAGACTGGAGACCAGAATAGGGAAATGACTTGTCCAAAGTCTTACTTTGAAAGTCCAGACTGGACTCCAGGTCTCTGGACTCCTAACCAGTGCTCTCTCTCTTGTATCTTTCTCATTATCCCACTGTATCCGTTACCCTAAAATATGATCATGGTGCCTTGTGGCCAAGTTGTGTAGCTCAGGAACTAGAAGGATAAGAAGGGAGAAAGACAGGCAGATTGGTACTGGACCAAATCCATTTGTTCACTGGTTTCCTTATTCATTCCTTTCCGCCCTCAAATTTCACATATTGGATGACTACCTTGAGCAAACATCCAAACACTGGCTCTGCCCTGGGGACACAGACATAAACCAGACACAATTCTGGCCTTGAAGAAACTCCAGGTCCAGCA